CAGTAATTTAATGATGGTGACTTACAAGTATTAGGTATTCTTTTGAATACATGAAAGCTTGTCAGAGTTTGAGGCTATGTCTGAGTTTACTACTCTCTCTACATTTAGAGGCTCAGGTGGAGAAAGTTGTTACAGATTGACAAAATTTAGATTTGGCCTATAACATGTGCCATAAAGGGTTCTAGGCCCTCTGTTTTGATACCTAGGGTTTCAGAGTTCCTGCTTTCATCAAACTCACAAACACTTTGAAAAAGCAAACTTATAATATACAAGCCCACAGACTATTAAACAGAGAACTCAAGTAATCGCAGGAATAGAGAGGGAAACCAAGAGATAAAGTAATCAACTCCAATGGGAGGGTTCAACCGAACCTAGCTCCTTCAGATGACTCAGCTCAGTTAGGGTCAAATCCCTCTGAGTAGTTGCTACTTCAGTAGGCAGGAATCAAAGGAAATGTGGGAAAATAAAACATTTTTGGGTGACAGAAAAAGCATAAAAGCAAAACCCACAGTTAACTCAGAGTATTGGGTTCAGGGAAGTTCAGTGGATTCCTGTACTGAAGATAAATGGTCAGAGAGGTAAAGCGGAAACTGGAAATCCTCAAGGAAAGAGAAATTCAAATTTTCATATAGGTACAAACAAAGGACATAGAGAAAAAGCAATTAACATGGGAGGGAGAGAGGTAGGAATCAGCAAAGGTTTTACAGAGGAGGTGGCATTTGAAACCTTGAACGATTAGTATTTCAGAAGATCAAGGAAGAGACAGACTGCGAGAGCCATCTAGCTAGGCTTAGAGGCATGAAAATACATGGAGTATGGAGATACGCAGAGGAAGATGTTCTGGACAGATGTATTTTATTGGGATGTGAACTGTATGACACATGTGAGGGGCCCACGGTACAACTCATTTTCAGGGTTGGGCAAGTGGGTTGGCACAGTGGCAGAGGATTGATTTCAAATTCTCCCATATGGGAGACTTACACTTTTAGGAAGAGGTACTTTTCCTCATTTTTCCTAAGTTCAATGAAGAACATGGACATACCATTTAAAACAAACAAAAGACTTAAACAGGTGGAGAGAAGAAAGAATAATAGCTTAGGAGCCCTGGAATCTAAGAAATGTCATGGTGGCGAGATCCCTGGGTTTTGTTTTTGTCTCATATTCCTAGACTTGGAGCCGAAGAAGTTGACAACTTGGAAACACCAAGTCAGACAAAAAAGTCCTAATAAGAGCCTATTTTCTCTTGTCAAGGATCAGGAAATAGCCCAGGAAGACAGAAAACTTTTAGACAATAGCTGCTGCATTCCAGCCAAGCACCACAGGCAAAACTGTGGTCCTACTTCAAGAGGGACCCCAATCCACTCCTCTACTAGGTTTGTGTCAAAGAAGGGTGAATAGATAGCTGACAGTCGACCCTGAGTGGCAACAACTCTCCCTGACCCCAGCGACATCAGTGGAGACCCTTCAGTGAGCCTGGCCTTCTACTTTGACACAGTGGTCACGAGATACCCTTCCACCTCCACCATGTAGGGGTGGCATGAAAGGAGACCTGGTGAAATTAATGACTTATCTCCCAGTAGTACAAGGCCACCCTTGCTGTAGCGTCAGTGGAGACAAATACATAAGGGGATTTTCTTTCATCTTAAGAACCTGGTGAGCTCCTGGAGGTATAACTCATGAAAGTGTGTCCCCCAACGAAACAAGACAAGCTAGTCCCTCAAGAGTTTTGTTTTTGTTTTCAAACAAAGTTTATTAGAAAAGAAGGGAGAAAGTGTGACATGCCAGAGTTGGCACAGGCGAAAGAAACTGCTCCTCAGGGAGTTTTTAACTCTCAGGCTAGGCCTCATTCAACCTCCAGCAAGACATTAGTTATTGTTTAAGTGTTGCTACAAGTTGTTGGCTCTGGTGGTGGCTTCTGCTCCTGGCAAGCTGGGATTGTCTGTGTTCACCTCGCTCTCTCTCCAGTTTTTGGGGTGGCTGTTTTCCCTGTGACTTCAATTCTCTGGTTGAGTGAAGAGTTTTTGATTTTCACTTTCTTCAGTTGTGATGAAAGGAATAAAGAATTCCCAAGTTCTTTAGGCGTTAAAGTGGAAACCGGAAGTCCTGTGTTCATTTTTATCTGTTCTTTTTCCTTTCTGTATTGCAGTCTGGATAATCACAATTGACCTATCTTCAAGTTCACTGATTCTATCAGTTCAAATCTGCTGTTAAGTCCTTCGAGTGGATTTTTTATTTTTGTCATTGCACTTTCAATTCCATAATTTTGATTTGGCTCTTTTTTATAATAATTTTTATCTTTATTGACATTCTCTATGATGAGACATTAATTTTATACTCTATTTCTTTGTACATGGTTTCCTTGAACATACCTAAAATAGATTTAAATTCTTTTCTTGTAGGGTCAATGTCTGGGCTTCTTCAGGAAAAGTTTTTATTTATTGCTTCCCTCCATACTTTATTGCTTCTTTATGTGTATTATAGGCTTTAAAAAAAAAAACTGGACATTTAAATTAATACAAACAGGGCATCTCTAGAAATCAGATTTTCCTCTTTCCAGGGTTTGCTATTGCTGCTTGTTATAGTTGTATAGTTGTTTGTTTAGTGACTTTTCTCAACTAATTATGTAAAGTCTGTATTCTTTGTTGTGTGTGGAAAAGTCTGCACTGATTAGTTTAGTGGTCAGCTAATGATTGGACACATATTTCCTTAAATACCCAAAACCAATAAATCTCCCATTTTTTGCTCAGGGGCTCTTTGTGCCTGTAGGGATATGCCTTCAATATTTGGACAAGCACTTGAAAACTCTGCCTTTGCTTTCACTTCCTGCTTGGAAGGCAGAGGTGAAAGCTTAGGGCCATCTCACATCTCTCTTGATATTCACAGTACTAGACATGTACACAGCCTTATACATGTGCCTGGTTTTCTAAACTCTCAGGAATAAGTCATAGCTTTTCAAAACCTCCATGGACATCTCATTCCCCAGCTTTTCCCTTGAGATTTTTAGCTAGCCTAACATTTGCCCCAAATGTTATCCACCACTTCAGGCAGTCAGGAAGTTAAAACAATTAGTCCCTTGGGGAGAATTATTGCACTGGGTTATCACTCTGAAATGATTCAAGCACAGAAAAATTTGTAGGTGAGGTTATACCAGAAGATAGGGCTTACAATGACATCTCCTTGGGAACAAGACTTAGAAAGAGTCCCACCTCTGTTCTGCTTCTCTGGTGGCTACACTGGAAATATGACTATTTTCAAGGTTATTATGGTGCTACAGAGGGAGTATGGGACAGCACCATGAAGCTTGCTGTTTACACTGAGATTTAGTTGTTTTTCTTGAAGAAATGTTTCCTAGACTGCTGCAAACCTTTAGTTGTTTTCAAGAGTTCCAAAAAAGTTGACTCTGAAAAATTTTTGCCAGATTTTTTTATTGCTTTTATGGAGGAGAGACTTTTCAGAGGTTCTTATACCACTATTTTTGTTGATGCCTTTCCTACTGTTCTTGACCTACCCAGGTTTTGGTCAGAGCAGCAAGAAATAACCTGCTGTAGTTAAAATAATTCCCTCATTTAATGGAGTTGCCTTTGCTGAAATAAGAAACCTTGAAATCATAGAAACCTGACTAGAGTAGGTATCCTATTCAATTTACTCTTTTGAATCTTTTTTGTCTTAACATTAAAGCATGACATGATATCTATGAACCTATATTTGAATCCTATTAAATGGCTACATATTGTTTCATTGTGTGGCTAAAACATAACTTCAAACCTAATTTCTATAATTGAACTTGCAGATATACGAGCATTTTTAGATATTAGTTCCCCCCTACATCACTTCTCTTTTATTGTATTGAAATCCCAAATTTGCTTTGATTAGCTGTTAAAACTTAAGTTTCTCTGAGGGAAATAAAACCTAAAAATGGTAGACTGAGAATCACATGATTTAAGATAGTATTTGGGCATTTCTATCTCTATTGATGCTAAAATATATGTGAAGATGGAATGGAATTTAGAACTCCATGAGAGAGAGCTGGTGTCAAGAGAGCTGATGTCACACAGCTGCATTCTGACTGGTATAGAAGTTGGAACTCAGTGGCTGATCATTCTGCCAGCTTTGGTGGAAAACTGTGCTTCTAAAAGCAAGCTCTCCAATCTTGGATCTTATTAACTAGAGTTTTCTTTCTCAAATTAAAAGTTTGAGATAGTCCTGATAAGATGTCACGTTCCCTAAACTTTACTTTAATTGTAATTTTGTTTTACTTTTGGCCTTCATTCTGCTATCAAGATTTTCAAGGCAGTAAGTATGCGTTTGTAATCAGATTGTTTATTCTTCTCCTCTGGTTCACATTTTCCTAGTTTCAGAAAGTTAGATTAAACAAATTGTTCATCTTAAATTAGATTTCCTGGGTGGATTTAACACTTAGGAGTAAAAATGGCAGTTGTCAGAGAAAGAATTGAAAACTTTTTTCCCTAAAACACACATCATTTACAAAATGGATTTGGGTATGCTCAGTATCGTTGGACGGTAACAACTGGCAACAGATTTTTCCCTAGGAAATCTTTGAGCCTGAGGCTCAGCGAGGAGTCAGTTCTAACTCTCTGAGCAAACATAGTTCAGCCCAGGTGTTGGGGAGACACGCCCTCAGCTCCAGTGCAGGCCTGCCTGTTGCTTCTAGCTGCCTGTAGCTGCCTGGGAAAGGGAAGAATTCTTCCAGGTGTCTGTCTCTCTGATTTCCTTCCTACTGGAGGTTGCATTTCAGTACTATTTCCTCCGCAGATAAGCCTTTTCCCTATCTCTGGGCCAACTGAGGACCCTGGGCCTCCCTGGAAGGACACATTTGTGTTTTACACACATAAGGATCTGGGTTTGGGGTTGTTCTTCCTCCACCGAAGGGTGCACCCTGAGGCTGCTTAGCGGATATGTGAGGGGAGGATCATGCTCATGGCTTGTCTGTTCTTCTCTGTCTAGGCACACCCGAGTCTACTAAGCTGAAGACGATAGCTATGTTCGCCATTGCTGGAGGTATCCTGGCAGCCTTACTCCTGCTGACAGTTGTTGTGCTCTGTCTTTTCATCAAAGTATCCAAAGCACTAAAGTGAGTCATGTGGGTAAAGTGAATACACTCCCTCGAATGAGATCCCTGGATGCCTGAGTAGGGTTATCCTTGTAGCGGTAGCCACATCCAAGGCGAGGTCAAGAGCAGAAGGAAGCTTTTAAAAAGGCAGAGGCAGCTTAGTATAGAATCACTCATTACTATTTTTTTTCCCCCTTCTGGCTTGGTTTGGTAGAAGTGTTCTCAGCTTGGAGGCTGTGTGTGTAACACTGTTTTGATGTCCCTAGGCCTCACTGAGTTTACTATCAGATGTCTAATTCATCACCTTGGCCAAGCCTCCCTCAGTCCTGGGCACCATAGACTGATGACTCAGCCTTGTACTCACCTGGAGGATAGGCTGGACTGGTCTCTTGCCTGAGCTGGGAGCTCTCAGGGTGTTCCCACATTCGTTGTAACTGGTTTTGGAGACAGCGAGGTGGGCCTCTAGGACTCAGGGACAGCTCAGCTGTGCCAGGATCCAAGGGGAGCTGAGGAAGGGGTGGAGGTCAAACAAGAGATTATTACAGTTTGGGGAGAAGACCCTTCAGGTACGGAAGAAACTGGTTATCAGATGCAGTTGTGTCCTCATTCTAGGGAGTTAGATGGCACATCCGGAGCCCGGGCACAGCTGAATGCTGCACCTACCCATCAATCCTGCATCTCCAGGGCCTGCACTGACCTGCTGGGGGATCCCTGCTTGCAGTTCTCTCTCCTTTACTTTTGTAGCCTGAGTTTACCTTGATTGCAAGCATAGGAGAGGAAGGCATGAGAGAGGAACTTGGGATGGGGTCATAGCTTTAATCTAGAGCTGGTGTCCACATTTGATGGGCTCCAGCGCTTAACTTCCCAGATATCCCCAACCATGATAACAGAGGGACTGAGAAGAATACTTCTAAGTCTGTGCTCTGTGTATGTCTTTGCTTAAGAACTGCCAAGGAGCCTGATGTCGAGGCTGCAAAAGGTAAAAATCTAGACAAGGCGTGGTACACCAAGAACGCCAGGGCCAAGGCCAGTACCGCCGAGTCTTGTCCCACCCTCCAGTGCTGCACTGCGTGTCGAATGCATGATTTCGATGCCCTGCCACCATGCTACTGTGACGTAAATGAGGGACTCTGACTTGGGAAAGGTGGGCATGAGAATCTTCATGAGCAACATTCCTTTCTTAGTAGGATGTTTTCTTATTCGACTTCTAGAGTGTTTACATGATATTATATAATGTACAATGTTATTTTATGTGCTTTTCAATAAAAACGCAAGAATAAAAATAACATCTTCTGCCTCCAGTGTTTTTTTTAGTTATTATAAATGTCCCCTACTTAAATATACGTATTACCCACTTTGAGACTTGAGACAACTACCTTGTCCCATTACATTGCAACAGAAGAGGGAGTTAGAGCCGAACTACTAGAGGTGTCCAGCCCACCTCCCATCGCAGAAGGAAAATGCACTTTGAGCCCAGGGTGTTTCCAGTTCGGCCCTGCTCTCACCCAGCTGGGGTCACCTGTTCAGCTCTTCTTCTGAGGTCTTCGGTGGCTGCCATCCAGCTCCAAGCTGGACCCGTGTCCTGGGGTCCCCAAGGACTGCGAGACAGCGAGAAGAGTCAGGCAGGACCTCCTGCGTCCAAGGCATCTGACCTGCGCCAAGATCGGCCGATAAAGGACATTTGGCTGCCACGCAATCTTCAGAGCAACTCCTTCGTGGATCACAGGGGCACTGATGAGGCTGACGCAGCCTCGCAGCCTCACCTGGGCCAGAGCCTCCAGTCGACGGCGGAGCCCAGACTTCCGACCACAGCAGGGGCCGTGCCGGGCGCCCCTGGCCACTTCTGCCCCCAGCTGCCTCTGTTCCAGCTCCTTCCACGGAGCCTCTGGAACCCCTTGCTGAGCCCGGGGGCCCATCGGTACCACAGTCTGTGCTGCCCCTTCTGAACAAAACCCTTGCTTGTGAGCGCCACCTGCACGCTGAATGCAAAGCGTTCTGGCTCCGAACAGGTGTGTCTGCAGCAAATGCGGCGAGAGGACGGGCAGGAACCGCCCGTGAAGGGAGGCTGAGTCAGAGCGAGAGGCCAGGTGGGGGTGAGTCTGCGCGGACACAGCCGAGAGCCAGCGGCCCTCAGGGATCAGAAGGGACCCCAGGCGCTCACGCTCACAGGGGACACCCAGGCCCCGCGGTCCCCGGCCAGCCTGACAGACAGAACTGGGCGGGGCGGGGGTCTGGCTGCCTGCCCCTGCAGCGCCGGCTGTGGGCCCTGCTGGGAAAGGGTCCCCGGGTCTCAGCTAGGACTGCGCCCTCCCCCGATGGCAGCTTGTCCCGCTGCACAGCCGGAACACCAAGACGGGGGGAGGGCAGAGGCGGATCGGCCGAGGAGGGCCAGCCTGCACCAGCCTCAGCCCTCAGAGCTGCTCAGAAGCTTCTTGAAAAAGAAGCCCACAGCCGGGAGTGCTGGGCCACGCCTGGAGTCCCGGCACTTGGGGAGGTGAGGAGTCTTGCCTGAGCTCGGGGGTTCGAGACCGGCCTGGGCAACCTGGCGAGATCTCGCCTCCACAAGAAATCATAAAATTAGCCGGGCGTGGTGGCGCGCGCCTGTAGTTCCAGCGACTTGGAAGGCTGAGGCGGAAAGGTCATCTGAGTCCAGCAGGTCGAGTCTGCCGTGGCCATGAGTGTGCCTGGGCGAGAGTGAGGCTCCGACTCAAAAACAAACAAACAGAAGGTAGTCAGTCCACTCAGAATGGCCCACTCGAACTTCGAGTAAAATCCAGACACCTCCTCTGCCCTCCGGGTCCTTCTGCATCTGACCACTGCCTGCTTCTGTCCATCTTTCCCTCCCGGCTCTCTCCTCTTCACTCAGGCCCAGCCAGGCTGTCCTGCCTTCCCTTGTGCGGTGGTGTGCCCAGCCAGTCCCTGCCCCAGAGCCTTCGCACCTGCCCTTTCTTGGGCCTAAAATGCGACTCCCTGCGCCCAGATCACACCCGAATTCCGCCTTCTTATCCCTCTGTCTCTGCCCAGATCTCACCTCCCAAGATGCCTTTCTTCCCACCCTCACAGTGCACCCCGTCCCCCACCCCCGCGAGGCACCCACTCTCCACCAAGTCACCCTGTTTTATTGTAGTCACAGCTCCTCTCACTCTTTGAATTCTTCATTTATTTTTGTGTCCAACTCCCCACTTTGAATACAAGTTCCATGAGGGCAAGACCGAGTCTCTCATGTTCAATTCTGTATTCCTCAGGCCCTGCAGTCACAGTAATGAACATTTGCTAAATGAACGCATCCATGTATGAAATGAAAAACAGGTAACCCCCTCCTTCCCCGCCATGTTCTTCCTAGGGAGTCCTTTCTCTTGGCTGCAAACCACAGTGCCCGAGGAGCGAATCCACCTGCTTCAGCCTCTGCAGGCATCACCAGTTAGAAACCTCTGCAGGGGAGCCTGGATCTGCACTTTCTTTTTTCTCCCCTTCCTCCTTCACTGCCCTCCAAGGTCAGCCACCTGGCAGAGCTTGTGTTACCCAGCTGGACCGAGTTTGCCCAGGTGCTGCATCGCCTCACCCCACTGTAGCTCAGGCCTCCCACGGGCTTCCCTTGGGAGAAGCCGCGAAGGCTTCAGATGTCCTGAGATCTCAAGGGTGATCTGTCGGGACAGGGCGTAGACCCCCATGTCAGGCCCATGGGAAATTATACAGTGTCTGCTGAGTGCTCGTGCTGGAGACCCTGTGAAAAGTATTGGTGGGTACAGCCCTTCTGGGAACGAGTTAAGCAAGGTGAACACTCCTTATGGGGATTGCTGATAAGAATCTTGTCACAGAGCTGCTCTGTTCTCACATAAATCTACTCCTTGCATGGCTGCAACTGACATATTTCCCTGGGGGTGTTCAGGAAGCTTATGAAACACAGAGCTGATAAAAGCCTGCTGGCCCTGAAGGCTGCCCAGTTCCTTGCAAAGATGGAGCGTATGCTGGGCACAGTGGCTCACACCTGAAATCCCAGCACTTTGGGAGACAGAGGCAAGAGGATTGCCTGAACCCATGTGTTCGAGACCAACCTGGGCAATTTGGCAAGACCTCGTCTCTACAACTAAACAAAAATTAGCTGAGCATGGTGCATGTAGCTCCAGCTACTTGGAAGGCTGATGCAGAAGGATCGCCTGAGCCCAGCAGGTGGAGGTTGCACTGGCCGTGACCTTACACTACAGCCTGGGCGACAGTGAGACTCCAACTCAAAAAACAAAACAAAACATGGAGTTTGTAAAGAGGCTCATCCCTTTGGCCCTTTTAATTGCCTTCTGGCTGGTAGTTTACACCTTAATCCCAGTGATTTGGAGAGCCAAGGTGAGAGGACTGCTTGAGGCAAGCATGGGCAATGTAGTAAAACCCTGTCTTTACCCCTCAAAAATTGTTTTTAAATGATCTGGGTGTGGTGGTGCATGCCTGTAGTCCCAGCTACTCAGGAAGTTGAGGTGGGAGGATCACTTGAGCCCAGGAGATAGAGGCTGCAGTGACCTAAGTTTGTGCCACTGCACTCCAGCCTGGGTGATGAAGTGAGAATTTGTCCCTAAGAAAATTTTTTTTCATGGGTTCGAGATCAGCCCGGGCAACTTGGCGAGACCTCATCTCTACAAGAAATTGAATAATTAACTGGTCAGGGTAGCACATGCTTGTAGTTCTGGCTACTTGGAAGGCTGAGGTGGAAGGATTGCCTGAGCCCACTGCACTCCACTGCACTCCAGCCTGGGTGACAAAGTGAGACTCCAACTCAAAAAAAAATTTTTTTTAAATAATAATAAATAAATAACCTCCTGTTTGGTGGAGTTGAAATCAATGAAGGCTGAAAGTAAAAAAAAAAAAAAAAATTGAACTAGATTTTTCATCAAAATACTGCCATTCTAAAGATTGCTGGCAGAGATTTTAGATCTTTTGAATCCTCTGCTGGTCCTGATGTAGAAAAGATGATGTTGATGATGATGATGATGATTATTATTTTGATTCAGGATTTCACTGTGTTACCCAGGCGGGATTACAGTGGCACAATCATGGCTCACTACGGTTTCAACCACCTGGACTCAGGTGATCCTTCCACCTCAGTTCTCATGTAGCTGGGACTATAGGTGTATGCCATCACACCTGGCTAATTTTTAAAAAACTTTTTTGTAGATATTGCAATATAAAATAGAAAAGGCCCTTGAAATTTGACCAGAAAATTTTACTTCTAAAAACTTATCTTTAACATGAATAGACACTTCTCAAAAAAAGATAAACGGGCAGCCAACAGACACATGAAAAAGTGCTCAGCCTCATTAATCACCAGAGAAATACAAATCGAATCCACATTGAGATACTACCTACCCCCAGTAAGAATGGCCATCATTAATAAAACAAACAACAACAGATGCTGGTGAGGATGTGGAGAAAAAGGAACGCTTCCACACTGCTGGTGGGAATGCAAACTAGTGCAGCCTCTTGGGAAGACAGTGTGGTGATTTCTGAAAGAATAAGAAATTGACCTTCCATATGACCCAGCAATCTCCCTACTGGGAACATACCCAGAGGAACTCAAATTATTCTACAAAAAAGATACCTGCATACACATGTTTATTGCAGCACTATTCACAGTAGCAAAAACATGGAACCAACTGTGATGCCCATTGAAACTGGACTGGATTTTAAAAATGTGATACAGGCCAGGCTCAGTGGCTCAGCCTATAATCCCAGCACTTTTGAAGGCCGAGGCGAGTGGATTGCCTGAGCCCATGGGTTCGAGACCAGCCCTGACAACTTGGCGAGAGCTCATCTCTACAACAAATCAAAAAATTAGCCAGGTGTGGCCACACACGCCTGTAATTCTGGCTACTTTGAAGCCTGAGGTGGAAGGATCACCAGAGCCCAGAAGGTTGACTCTGGGGTGGCCGTGAGTGTTCCACTGTATTCCAGCCTGGGTGATGGAGTGAGACTCCGACTCAAAAAAAAAATATGTGGTACATACACACAATGGAAAATTATGCAGCCATAAAGAAGGGCAAACATATGGACTCTACAGCAACTTGGATGGATTTAGAGTCTATCATACTCAGTGATCTATCACAGAAACAAAGAGCAGAGTACCATATGTTTTCACTCATAAGCGGATGTTGAACAATTATCATAATACTATAAGAAAGGGATTGGCAGTAATTG